GCCTCGGCGCCAGGAAGTCGCTTCTGAGCCCGTGAGTGCCCGGTGGGGAGGGGAGGTTGCGTCTCTCGGTACCGGCTGCGGGGTGCCCTCTCCCTGGCGTACGGGCAGGCCGGAGCCGTCATGGCCCGTTCTCCCGCCGCCAGGTGCATCGAGGAGCGGTACAAGGCCGTCTGCAGCGCCGCCAGGACACGCTCTGTCCTGTCCCTCGGCGTCGCCTGTTTCAAGAAGCTCCCGGAGAAGGTGCGTGCGCGCACCGTGGTGCGGCCGTTTTCTCTTGGTCCGTTTCGGGGAACGGGGACGAGCTGGGAGATGGAATTCCCCCGTGGAATTGTCCCGGCAGTTCCCTCTGACAGGTATCCCTGGGTTCTTTGCACGCTCTCTTTGTGCAGTCCGAGAACACGTACTTGTGCCAGATCTACAACCTCACGCTGCTCTGCACCGAGGATTATGTGGTCGAGCCCCAGTCAGTGCAGTTCCTAGTGCAGCATGGCTTCGACTTCAACAAGCAGTATTCCCAAGGGATCCCTTACCACAAGGGCAACGACAAGGTACACATTTATTCTCTTTCAGACACCTCAGACAACTCTGCTCCAGGTTCCAGGGAGTGTGCTGGCTTCCCTTGCACCTGCATGAAGGTGGGCGAACACTGGGGTCTTGCGTGCAGCATTATCCCTTTCACCTCCCTGCTGCTTTAAACCCAATTGTTGCAGTTGCTTTTCCAGATGTTTGTGTCTCTGTTCAAAGTAAGTCATAGCTGTGGGTAGCATCTTGCTGCTACAGGCTCTGAAGGCCCTCCAGGGTGACAGCCAGTCAGGGTGCCAAGCTCACTGATCCTTCCTCACGCAGGGCAACGAGAGCCAGAGCCTGAGCGTTCGGACGCTTTTCCTGGAGCTCATCCGGGCAAAGAAGCCGCTCATTCTCCATAACGGCCTGATCGACCTGGTCTTCCTGTACCAGTGTTTCTATGCTCACCTCCCGGAGAGCCTCGGCACCTTCACCGCTGACCTCTCTGAGATGTTCCCAGCGGGAATATATGACACTAAGTATGCCTCGGAGTTTGAGACTCGCTTTGTAGCATCCTACTTGGAGTACGCCTACAAGAAGTGGTGAGCAGCACACTGGTACTCAGAGCTTACAGGAGGAAAGGCAAAGGCAAATCAGTATGTGTTTGTTTTTCCAGGCAAGGGGGCTGTGTCCTTTCACTGTCCCACTGATTGAAGGTGCTTTTCAGGTGATTCTGCCCTGTGCTTTTTCTGTTTCTAGAATGGGTCTGTTTTTTAATAGACCTTACCTGTTCAGTGGGCAGCAGCTGAAACAGAACTTCAGAACTGGTGCCAGTAGAAAACTGACCACAGTGACCTGATCTGAGATCTGATTGGGTCACTGCCTGGCTCTGGTCCAGCAGTGCCACAGGGTCATGGCAGGAATTCACACAGAAAAGAAACCAGGGCTGTCCTGCAGGGTCTGCTAATTATAATTATGTTTTGTAAGGGACACTACAGTTAAAGGGTGGGTGTTCCCTGCACTCCTTGACACTGACTAGCTCTGTCACATGTCCTGCACACGAGATGCCTGTGGGCCACTCTGACTCCCATCATTTCCTTCCAAGCAAGGGTTGTGCTCTTATTCAAGACACACAACTGTGCTTTGCAGACTGACCCCACGTTCGGCCTCATGCAATCTAAACCAGCCCCTGGCAGTAATAAAGCCCCTGGGATCTCCATAAAGCTTAGGTCAGCCATGCTCTGTTTTTAGGAGAAATGGTATTTTTAGTAACTGTATAATCTCAGGAAATGCCACTTTGGCAGGTCTGAAAACATTCAAGATAGCCATTCTCAAAACATGAGAGTGCTTTGTTTTGACAAGATTTAAAAAAAAAAACCTTTTAAGCTGATATCTTAAAACGTTTTAACCCAAGTTCTCGCTAAGTACAGCTTTCTAAAGGTTTTGGGCCTTTTAAGCAGCTCATGGGACAAAACAGAGATCAGATTTTTTTTTTTGTGAAATGAAAACACTTTCCTTGTTGTCTGCATTGCTCAGGCTCAACCTGCCTGGGTGGTGACTGCTGGATTGTCTGCACAGTACCTCATTTTGAGGTGTCTCTTCCTTGTCCATTAACATGATGAAGACAAACACATATCTTAGTGCTCTTTATAGTTAAAAAAACAAAATATGCATCCCCCTCTCCTGTAACTTTACCAGAGATGTTGCTTTTCCTTTCTCTATGTCAGCATAAGAAGAAACAACCTTTGAATTAGTATGGAAACAACTACTTACTAAAGTTGCTCTCCTGGGATTGAATTCCATTCCAGCAGCTGGGGCTGGAGCTCAAGAGATGAAAACTCATGGAGTTGAGAGTTAGTGGAGAGCAGTGTTTGCTCCGTGTCCTGGTCCCATCCCACAGTTATTGTGTGCTCCCCTTGTTTCAGCAAGCGAGAGAACTGCAAGCTGAGGGACTCCAGTGGGCCACACCTCACGGTGGAGTTCTGCAATTACCCTGCTGACATGTCCCGCTACATTGACTACCGCTACTGCTCTCTGGAAGAAGAAAACCACAATCCTGCAGGGGGAAATAAGGTGCCTGTTTGTGAGAAATTTTCGGTAAGTAATGCTAATCCCCACTCCCTTCCTGGCTCCGTGGAAAGGGGCACATGTGGCCTCAGCCAGAAGTTGTAGAAAAGCACTTGGTAACTTCCCCTCACTTGCTTCATAGTACAAGGAACATTTTCAAGCTTCAGGTGGCTTCGTGACAGGGCAATATGTGCTCTGCTTGGAGGTGGGGAATCCTACAGGCTTCATTAGGAAGATTCCAACAGAGAGTCTATAGCCCTTAACAGTGTTTATTATGAGTTACAGCATCCCTTACTGTCTTGGGAGGGGGCTAAACGTCCTGCCTTAGTTTGGCTTGTCCTACAAGAAAGAAGTCTCACCTCTACCCTTCCCTTTATCTTCAATAAATAGAAAAAAATATTACCTGTTTGCAGTTTCTGGCACTTTAGCACAGGGTGATCCTCAACAGCTTGTCCTGGTGCAGCTACAGCAGCAAAGAGCCCATCTGATCAGATTGTAACTGCCTTCAGGTGCTTCATAGAGAAAAGGAGCTCTTCCACATGTTGCATATTCTGTCACAGAACATAGGCTGGGGAAATGTCCGGAAGTTTCTCATCCAACCACCACCTCCATGTTGCTCTGAGCCTTGTTTGGTAAATTTTGAAATTGTGTAAGGACGGAGATTAAAAAACAACTCCAGGTCCCTGTTCCAGTGCTTGACCACTACATGAAAAATGTTTTCCTACATCTCTAGTCATAATGTTACCAGGTCCCCCTCTCCCCTGTGCTCTCACAAGAGTTTAGCTCCATCTTGTCCTCTGCAGACACCAACTAGATATCCCTCTCTCCTTAGCCGCGTCTTTTACATGCAGAAAATCCTACCTTCCTTGGCCTCTCCTCATATGCTGTGTGCTGCACCCAGTGCAGTGTGTCAGCACCTTTCCAGTGCTAGGGGGCTGGAACTGGACACTGTTCCTGCTCCAGCCTCACAAGCCCTCAGTGGGATTAATTAGCTCCACTCCATATTACGGTGATTGCTGCTCTAACCAGTAAGATGATGGAGGCTACAGCCCTCTCTGTCTCTGTCCCTAGGCCTACGGCTGGTGTCCAAAAGGGGTGAATTGTCCACAGTCGCATAACATTGACCTCATCATTGATGAGGATGACAAGCTTTGGGAGAAGCGAAAGAAACGGAAGCACAAATGGAAGCATCGGAAGAACATGAAAGCCCTTACAACGGCACTCCAACAGGAAAACTCAGGGGAAAACATGGAGCAAGCTCAGAACGGGGAGGAGGGCCCACCACGGAAGCAGAGCTGCTACGAGCCTGCAGCTGCTACAGAGCTGGCAGAGATAGCACCCAACGGAGAGGGCAGGCCACTGGAGGAGATATCCATGGACATAGAAACACAGATCAATTCAGACACCAGCACACACTGGGAAGAGAATCTGGGGAGCACTGAAAGAACTGACCAGGGAGCAGCTGCCCAGAGCTCTTCTACCAAGGGAAATGCCTCTGGCAGTGACCAAGTAAAGAAGTCAAAAGTTCCCGCTGGGTCGGGCTCAGCCAGTCACCCAGCCACCCCTGAGACTGAAGCAGTAGGTGCTGCAGGAAAGGAAAAGGAAACCCATGGCCTTCCTTCACAGGGGGGCACACACCGAGCTGGCTTTGATGCATTCATGACTGGCTATATCATGGCTTATGTCTGGATGCTCAAGCAAGGGAAAAACACAGACACTGGTACAGGGCCCTGGTTGCCAGAGTGCCATAATAAACTGTATCTCAGTGGGAAATCAGTGCCATTGCATATAGTGAAGAGCTTGTTTTCTAAATCTTCCAAAGCTCACAGTGAGAAGATAAAGTTGGCCTGGGACACTGCATAGAGCTACAGAACTCCTCACTAAACTGTGCTTTTTTGTCTCCTCCAAGTTTTGGAGTTCTTTCTTCCATCAAGAACTCACTAAAAAGGGAACAGGTTTCATATTCTTGTTTCTGTTTTAACATCTGACCAATTAAACTGCTCTCAGTTGGAGTTGCCCGTGTTCCTTAGTGGCATGCTGGGATGTGAAGGCAGGGATGAGGCTGAAGGGGGAGAAATGCACCTTTGGTTGGAGCATGCACAGGTGAGACCTTTGCCCCTACAGGAGGAAAGGGAAGGAGAAAGTTCCTCCCCAGTGTGCCAGCTGATTCTAGTGCTGGCTGACTACATGCAGAAACAAGCCATAGCAGGTCTTCAGACTTGTTCAAAGGGGGAGAGGCAGTGGGGCTGAAAGCCAGATATGTGATCCTGAGAAACTGCTTCCTATGCTACTGAGGCTATTTACGGCTACAACAGAGCAGCCACCATGGCCGCCCTGCAGGCTGCTATCAAAAGCCATCTTATCTGGTAGATCTCAAGATATGGCATACTCTTCAGAGCGCTGTAACACAGAGCAGAAAAAAAAAATCATTGAGTCTCATGGATTTAAGAGTGGAACTCTTCAGTGAGATGCAGGAGAGAAATAACACTTACTGAGGATGACAGTTTTCCTTGGGTATAACTCAGCACTGAGTAACAGCAAGTACAATCTCAAGCCAGGTATTAATGACATTTGTATTTTAAGTAAGCATTCGAGCCAGCTTTTTTAACTTAAAGCAGTTGTCCTCTTAATCACAAGACTCAGGCCTTGATTTCATTTTTATTTTGAAAGCAAGTTGGGAAAGTTTACAAAACCTGACCAAGAAAAAAATTATGAAAATATTTAAGTGGATTCATCTTTGGTTACTTCTTATTGCAGTTCCAATAAAACATACACCATTTCTATAGTTCAAAAAAGTCAGAAGGTCAATCAACATAAAAACAAGACGTGCTTTCTTTACATATTCATAAATATCCGCAATATTAGAAAAGTTGTTTCGCAAAGATTTTTTTTCTGGCAGTGTTAACTTACTATTATACACAAGCTACAAACTTCTTCCTAAGGCTTTAATTACAAGTTCAGCTATTTACAGACTGCAAAATATTAAGACGTAAAACTCCTTCATAAATACGAAAATAGATCATCTCGCAAAGATCTTTATACTTAATCAAATATCTGGCTGCCCCTCCTCCCAAAGAAAAAGGTAATTTGTTTTGCATAGAAATGTAGTGACATGCAATATAAACAACAGCATTAAGTGCAAACAGGAATTATTCAAGTGTCTTTAGTTGTACTGGCAAAAAATACCAATGTTCTGTTACATATAATACATCAATGCCTCTCCAAGTACAAGTCTGCTACAGCCCCTTGGCTGTGCTGCTTTTGAGGGGCAGCAATTCACATGCACTCTCTTGGCTGCATTTTATCAACCTGCAACCACAACAAAAATAGCTTATAACAGACATTTAAATGAACTCAATATAGATTTAAAGTGAATTAAAAACATCTTTGATCTCTTCAGGGAGATGCGTAGCAATGTGTAGAAAGTACTTTAAAAGAGCAAGAACTGCTCCTGTAAAGTCAAAATCACGGTAAAATCCAATCACGATAAAACTTTGTCACATCACTATAAAACAAGGAGTTTGCTGACCACATGTTCAAATTCATGTTTCTCAGTAGCTGTCAGGAAATGGCCCTCTGTAGAAAAGCAACCTCAGTAGGCACAAAACCTAGGAGTTACTAGGTGCAGCCTAGATTCAGCTTTATGCAGCCAAAGGGATGAGATGTAGTGACTTCCAGCTGCATCCTTGGAAACACTGGGTTTCAGCAAGCACTTTGCAATTTTTAAAACGACCTTTTACTCCAGTTTCATACACATGCCTCTTCCCATGCAGACCAATCCAGGAAAGGCCTGAGCTGCTAGTCCTTGGCATTTCTGACATCTCCACCTCAGTGCAAAGAGCCAGAAGAGTTGATAGTTGTGCCCAATGCATGTCAATTGGTTGTGCTTAGAGCGGACAGTTAAGAAAATAAAATTTTAGCTGTGCTGCTTTGCAAGAGCTGTTCAGGGCACGGAAGTGTAAAGACAGCAGTGTAAGAACAGTGAGATCACTGCAGTGGATGCCCCAGGGGTACCCCAAGCCTGACTGCTCAAGCTTTGCAGTGTCAGAGAGGGCAACAGGCTTCATGATGAGGTGTCAGTACTGACGGCCAGGGTTCGTTCACGGGGGCCCCAGAGCAGCCAGAGGTGTGCGTGTGCTCTGATCAGGCTGCTGGACAGCTTCCCTCGGCCTGGTGATCCAAAAGTAAACCACTAATTATTGCTTTTTTGTCTGAAGTCACACACCTAAATGCATCTTGTGACAACAGAAGCTGGTGCTGATGGTTTTCCTCTCAGAAGATACAATTGTAGCAAAGATTAAAAAAAAAAAAACAAAACAAAAGAAGCAAGCAGGCACCAGGCAGGCAACTGAGTTCTGGTGTTTCTCTGTCCTCAAAGGAAGTTACACCCTCACAGTGGCAGCCATACAAGCTGCTCTGCACGCAGCAGACAGGTATGGACCAAAAGGTGTGATCTTAGTGAGCACAGGCATTTTCTCCTTCCAACTGCCAACAGCTGTCTAATCTGGCATGGACTGTATTAAATAACTCCGCAACACTGGATTTCTCATTTCGTTCATGGCAGCCACTGCAAAGGGAGAACTGCTGCTCAGGTTAACACACACTTCACCAGAGGAAGTCATAGCTGTAACTCATAGAATTACACCTCAGGAAAGATAAACATCCCAGCCAAGAAAGAACTAAGGCTTTCTCCATCCTTTCTTTGAGACAGGAGAAGAGTAGAAATAATCTGGCTTTCAGAGACTAGCTTACAGTATCCAGTCTTACAAGAGAGCAGGAAGAGTGTAACAAGCTAGGTGGATGAAATTCTGGACTCTGCTGCATCACCATCTGCTCAGCATGTGTGCAATGTTTACCTCACTTAGGAATGATAATACAGGTTAAAAAATCCCCATAAAATAAAATTTTAAAAATCCCATGTTTTTGGGGATGATCCTAGTGGAAAAGTGCAGGATGTTGCACAAATGTCAGAGAACAAGCTTTTTCATACATTGCATCCCAGAGCAGGGATTGCTGATTCTGGTTCCAGCAAGCAGCATTAAAGCTCGTGTTGCTGCTTATTTCACAGGTACCTGCTGGTGGAGAGAAGTAAAAAAATAAATAAGTAAAATGATCATCCTGTTCAGTGACAGGAGAAACTAATAAAGACAGCAGCTTCTTTCTGTAGAGGAAACAAAAAGTCAATTTGGGACAAGCTGATTTTCTTAAGTTTGACAATTCAAAGCCCTCCTGTGAATTGTTCTCGCCAAGAGCACTTGTGGGGCTACAACACTGCTGGCAACTTACCCTGAGCAGAAGATCCCTGTCCCTCTGTCAAGCAGGCTAGTGAGGAGCCATCATTAATACAGTGAAATCAGTGAGATTGGATGTTGTACCAGAGAGGGAGGTGAATGGGACCCTTCTAGCTTAGTGATAATAGTCAATTGTGATGTAGCTACTGTATTTAACTATTCTGCAGAAACACATCATGATCTCCACTCAGCTCTTCAGAGAGAAGAGCCCACCCCCTGCCAAAAGCTCAGTACAGCTGGTAACTTTCAGGAGCAGTTTCTTCAGAAGCTCAGAAATGGCAATGCTTGGAATACGCTTCTCTGTGCCCTGGGCAAATCTTCCTGCACATTTGGGCTGAGGTACATAAAGCACTGTACAAGGAAGTGAGCTTCCCTGCACAAATGTATTAAACATCATTACTAAATCCCAAGGGAAAATGAAACACCAGGGAACGGATTCTTCTTGTTAATTGCAAAGTACTTGTCATGTGACTCAGCCTGCAGATTGTGACCAGCATGAGGGGTTTTATTTTTGCTGCTTTTGAAAAAAGAGCTTGTTTAATGCTACAACAGCATTCAAAGCAGCTCTGCAACCAGAGAGCGTTCCTATCTGTCCAACATAGCTCAGAAAGACTTCTGTGCTTGTTTCTGAAACTGAGGCTCCAACTCACATGCACTTGATGCAGAATGTTAATGAAAAATCTGCAGTGGCTTAGAGCAGCTGTTCAGTTAGAGGAAGAGGGAAAAATCTAAGTGTCATTCTTTCTACTCTACATGGAGCTTAAGACCTTAAAATGCCCCATGCTGGAAATCCAGGTCAAACTGTTTACATGGCGCCTGCTCTGGCTGCTGTCTCTTGGAAGGACATGGCCATTCTGGCTGGAGTAGTTCCCCCTCCTAATGCAAATCAGGAAAGGGAATAAGAACAATTTGAAAAAAAGTTTTATAAAATAATCAGTCTCTTCAGACACTGTCTGCAGCTATCTGTCTGACAGCCAGCTTCCACCATCTGTTGAGTCTCTTCCGAATGTGAAGCCCAGCACTGCAGAAAACCGAGTTTAATCAGCTGGAACAACTGTTCCCTCAAGGCCACATTCAGTTTGAGCCCTCTCTTCATATGTCACAAGTTGACTTTGTGCTGCCACTTGCTGAGGTGCTGGAGGAGGTCTGAGACAACACAGCAGGACTGTCCCCATCCTGCTCCCTGAAGGGCCATGCCTCTTTCTTCAGCTCAGTGGGAGGACTAACACTGAACAAAGGCTTTGTAGACTCTAACAGAGTAATTTTCAGTAGATCATCTTCTACCTCCATCTCTTCAGAAGGGAGACAACCTGCAAACACTTGTGGGGAGCAATGTCCCTCAGAGTTCACTGAATTCTCAACTGGGAGCTTTTTGTAAGATAGTGGCCCAGACTGGGCCAGCACTAATGGCTGATCACATGCTGGATCTGCACATGCATTCTCAACAGGGCAAAGCCCATTTTCCTCCTGGGCCACTGGCCCATCTGAACAGTCCATATCCTCTTCTTGTCCTGGTGCAAGAAGAAACTCTGGTCTGTGAGGCTTGGCGTGAAAGGGAGGAATCTCTGACACACCATATTTAGTGCTACTCAAGAGTTTTTGCCGAACCTCTGCACCTAACTGGGCTGGGTCACACCTGCCAACAGTTGAAGACAGTCCCCCAAACAGGCCATATTCCTTGTGTGGTAATTCAGGAGAGAGTGGAAGTGATCTGCATCTCCTTCCAGGAAGAAGGGAAAGTTCTTGCCAGTCTGTGCTATATGCCTGCCGGATCTGGGACTGGCTGGCTTTTAGGCCTCCACCTGCATCTGGAGAATGCAAGTCAAACACCAGGGAAATCACAGACTTGCTTGGCATGTCGAAGAATTTGATCTTTCCCCCCTTGAGGTCCTCCCGGGCACTGAAGGGATTAACTTTCCGGCCTAACCCTTTGCTTGGTGTGTAGTAGGGGTCCTGCACGTTTATCTTCCTGGAAGGTTTGCGGGCAAATATATCCGACTGGCTGCGTGACAACCAGATATTCCGACGTGGACGGGGTGACTTGGGTGGGATCTTATCATCCAAGGAACTCAAACGTTTTACCCCTGGTCCTTTGTCAATTGATCCTGAGTAGAAAAAGAGAAATACTCTTAGCTTGAAAAAGCTCTATATAACTGTGCACCTGCTCATTCAGAGAGCCTTCATGACAACTGTAAAGAAAAAAAGCTGTTTCTGATATTCCAAACTATGTTCCGTAGGCACATAAGCTCCTTCCTTTTAAGTTCCTGCACAAATACAAGTACATCATTCTCTTCTCCTCAGTGTATTTTAGAGCCCCTGCAAACCTTCTTGCTGCCAGTATACTGCCACAGCAGATATGGCACAGAGTGGTGTTGGAGAAGAACAATTTGCATGTTTCTAGATTTATTGTCCTGGCTTCCAGCAGAGGTTGCCCAAGGTCTGTTGGTGCTACTGACCACAAATGAGAACTAGTACAAAACATAGTTGCCAAAGAAATGGGGACTTTTTCACTCTGATGGGAAATGTCTAAGACAAAAGTCTCTCCTTGTACCATGCAGATTTTAAATCATTCCATCCCAGCCTTCTTTCAGTACATTATCCAATACAAAACTGGAGATATGTGAGAGTCTGATCCTAATGACAGGAGTTTAAAAGTTGTACATATGCCTGTGTATTTGCATCCATTGCACATGCGCACGTTTATAAATAAAAGCTGTGTCACTAGATGGGGATGAGAAACTGGTAGATGTTAACTCCCCAAGTGTTTGGAACATGCATCTGTCATTGGCTCTCAAGATGCCTCTAAAGAGCCGTGTTACAACAACAACAAATGGGTAAAATTAAGTGATACCTCCTTACTATTTCCCAAATAAGCACATATGGATTTTCAGTTTTCCCTTTAAATACTGCCACAGTTTAGACTACAGCCATTCCAGTAGGAAAGACTATGCAAGTCAAAGAACAGCATGTAACACTTCTTTGAAAAGTACTTGTTTTGTACATGTACTCCAAAGGGTGAATGACGGGAAAAAAAAAATACCAAAAGAAAAAACCCAACCCAAACAAAAACCCCTAAACAAACAAATTTCCATTTTAACTCACACCTCTTTTAGATGCTTTCCAAGTGTGGGAGAACTACCACATGCATTAACTCTACAAGGTTTGATGTAGAGAAAAATTATTTCAATCTACCACTATATTACATATCAATAGGTAGATCCATATGTTACATATTTGTATAGCCACATAATATAAGAAACTATATTTAACGTACTCTTAAGTTTCTAATGCCAGAAGTGTACTAACATAAAACACCCAAGTCAGAATACAGCCCAGGATACAAGAGTTTGCTCCCCACACCAGGTGGCACTAGACAGCTTTAGAAAAAACCTTTCAAGGCCAACATTCCCAAGCAGACCTGGGACTCATCTTTTCTCGTCTTTCAGAGTATTTCTAGGTACTTTATAATACTCTTGCATCTTCTGTGCTCTTCCTCCTGAAGGAATTTAAGAAGCCTCTAAATGTTACATGTAACATACACCAAAGAAATTATGCATACGTACAAAGTATGGCAGCAATAAATCAAAAGTTGATGGATTTTCATATACTACTAGCAAGTTACAAATCCATTACCAAATGAACTCTAAATTTCCTTTCAAGATCTTGGGGACAGAATATTATCAGGCACTTTAAGAAACAGTTAGCTGTTTTTTTCACCAAAGGACATTCTGTAATGCCAAGTATAGAACATTGCTCCCGAGTAATTTTCAGGGTTTTTGTAAAATCATTCATAAACCATAAACGAAACCATATATAGTCAAAATACCAGTTTTCAAAATATGAAGTTTTTTCTCCTCTTGCTGTGAACACATAACAATGTTTGTATAATACAGACACTTACCTTTTGGTTTTCTTTCACTGTTGTCAAGGTTCAGGAACTTTCTATCTCTCTCTGAGTCCTCATTTCTCAGGCGGTTTAACATTTCCTCCAGTGTTTTGACAATATCAGCAAATGAAGGACGCAACTTGGGATCCATCTGTGAATGCACACAAATCAAGTAAGGCCAGGTGGGTTTGTCCATGCTATTCTGCTTACACAGTGGATAGGGAGAGGGACAATCTGAGGAAATTCAAAATGGTTTTAAGTGTGTTGTCATTGAAAAAAAACTAAAGAAAGCAGGGGAATAGAAGTATTCTATTACACCTCTCACATTTAATTTGTAAATGTTCTAGGAAAAGGAAAAATTTTTAATTGAAAAGGTGGGAAACTGTCAGATTCATGTCTGACATGGAGGGGTTGGCTGGTTTGCTTGAAACAGCTTGCATAATTCAGGATTTCTTTCTGGACTCTAGTTATCAGACAGATTATGTACCAATATTATTTCAAAAGGATTACACAAAACAACATGGCTATGTCAGTCTTTAAAAGATTGTAATTCTTCCATCGTCTCCTTGTGGCTTTAATTAAAACATATCTAAATGGCACTGCTGCTCTTAAAGCTGAAAATGTTGTGGTTTTCCATCTGTTAATCAGCCATACTACACAGTGTACTGGTCTATCTTGTAAGGAAGCAAGGGTGGTTATATAATTTGACAAGGTTACAAATTAGGAAAAAGAAAAATCCATCTTTCCCAGGTAAAATACTCCCCCTGCTCATCAATATATATTATTTCTATGTATTTCTCAGTATATATTTATTTATCCACTCTAGCAGATATAGATCTCTAAACAAAGTCCAACACTAAAATTGTACCACAGGGCAATCAGCTTCCTTTAAGCAGTAACTTGGAAAGCATTTCATCATTTTGAGCATTGTCTTTGTGTATATGTCACAGGCTTCACTACTGTAGGTAGCAACATCCAATTCAGCAGCCCAAAGTAAACTTCATTCCAGTAATAAAAACTATTCCAGTTGACCTGATTGCTGTTTCCAGGCTTCTAAAGGCTTTTTCAGAGTGGACAAGCCCAGACAGATCTCACCTCTACAATGGGAACAGTAGTGCTTTGTACACAACAAACGCCAAAGACCTCCCTGATACTACCCTGCAGGTTGTTTGAGATGGATCTTTCTAAAGAGCACTGGTATGATCAGCAATGCCAGAACACCTTCTAGCAACAAGGGCAAAAGTGCTAAAAATTCCTATGTACAGTAATAAAAACCAAACAAAGAAACCACACTTGAAGAGCTCAAAAGAGGCAATAAAATTGTTTTCTAAAGCAGAAGCTGGAATTTCCTGGCATTGGAAAACATTTTTCTGCATTCCCTATTTCAGTGAAAGAGTAGGGCAGGGGCAACACTGAAGCACACACTGTACTCTGACAAACTTACTAATTTGGGAATCTTAGGGAGCTGTTACAAGCTACAGGAAGTTACAGGAAGTAAAAAGAGCTCTCTGGCTCTTGTAATTTGTGCTAGGTAAGATGAAAGACAAAAGCAGCAATGGAAAAGTTAATCAGAGCAGTCCAGATTCTGCTCAAATGGAAGAGAAGGTTCCTTCTCAAAGCAGCAGCTCCCAACAGCTTGGCTCATCCTGGTGAGCTTTTTGCATGATCATTTATGATTATGTTTATTAAACAGTCCCACGAGTAGGTTTATAAGTTTTGGGTGCTTGCAGGTTCTTGTTTACAAACCCACACACTTTATAACAGTAAATTAAATGTTAATCCACTATTCAAACATGCCAGTTTTTACTGGTCTTCTTAAGATGCCTTAAAACACATTTCTTGGCTGTAGAAAATTCCAGGGCTTTGCACATTAGTTCAGCTGGGCTATACAGTTCACACCTTGTTGACCTACTAAATAATAAGAAGCTACATAAATGCCCATGTCTCAGAGAAAATTACCACACCAATCATCTCTTACTGAAGCACAGCATGCTTAGGAAGATATAAGAAAGCCTTATCTGTTTACTCTGTTTTCCTTCTCCTAGGTGAGTGATATGTGAATTCCAGCATGCCTCACACTGAAATCAGCATATTAATGGCTGGATCACAAGACAGTAATTTCCATTTCAATTCAGCAAAGGGACATTTATTATACAGGAAGCTGCATTTGACAATAATGAGTAGGAGAAAACCCTTTTTCTCTGAGCATACAAAATTCTTACATGAGAATAAAAGGTCACTGCCCTTTCCTTCACAAGCAGCTTTATTCTGAATTTCTGAAATGAAAAATTGCTTTGAGTGATGCAGTATGTGTTTGGATGCAGTACCATTTCTAGAGTCCCCAGGTGGGAGCTGAGCTTTCCAAAGTCAAATCCTACCTCTAATCAAACCCTTTAGTGCTCATGTAATCAAAGCACTTCATAAACATGAGTGAGATGTACCACTGTCCAGGTGAAGCAAGCTCTTCTGTAGTAAGGTGAAATAAGAGGAGTTAAGCAGTTCGTCCATAGTAAGTTTCAGAAACACTTTTAGAATTAAATTATGCTATGTGGTGCCAAGAGCAGCAGTCAATGCCCCCATTCTCACCTTTATACCACTCTCTCCTTGAGCATCGGCTTTTGTATTAATACAAAGTAAAGAGAGAGGTCAGGTCAAAAATAACCACCAAAAGCACAAAGAGATGGGACTTCTTAAAAGCACTCACTTGAACACAAGGCTGGCAATGAATTCCAGCACAGCCTGGTTGTGAATCCAGGGCCATGTTTTGTGCAGTAAAATTTTTTAAAGTTGCCTCTACTTAAGTTGAGCAAACTGGACATTCCCAACTTCAGCTGAATGTGGTGGACGTCCAGGTTCTCTTATTTTATATAAACTGGTTTACTATACATTGGTATTAGTAACTCTGTTACAGGATAACCAGCAGAAGAGATCTACTGCCCTGGAGCTTTCACAATAAGGAGCCAGGAAGGTGTCCAGCACTATCTTAATTTTATTTGAATAATTGCCAGAAAATTTTCTTCCCACAGCACATAGCCTATGGCCTTACAGATATTAAATAATTTCATTCCAAGTTTGGATTTTATAACACAGGCTAAGGATTTGGATGTCAAACCCCTTTACCAAGAGGCATCATGCAGACACTTTAGAATAGTTTAATGCCTGCTCTTGATTTGTTTGTCCCCTGTTTGTAAGAGCAAGTCAGTCCTTCCTTCATAGCTCAGTAGGCCTGCACACAACAACAGCTGGATTTTGTCAGCCTGAAGGTTAGCCAGTGTCAATGGCATCCAACTGGTTATGATCAGCCTGAACAGCCTGCAAGAAGCTGTTCAGTGTGTCAGACCTGTTTGTTTGGCATGACAGAACACAGAATTACAAAAACACAAGACAGACCTTTTAGCAAGGGGAAGGGAAGGATTATAAAAATTAAAGGGACTTCTTGGGCTGTCAGAAGGTACACTGCTTCTGAAGGTAAGTTCTTCAAATGTCTCTTCTGTAAATGCTTTAAGCTTTATCTTCAAAAGCCAGAGGGATTTAGAGAACTCCAGTTTAGGCCTCTCCCCTTCAAGTAAGATACTCACGTTACAGCAGTTGAAGGCCAGCTGGAGGAAGTCAGGAGGACAGTCTCCCACCATGTGCTGGAAGGAATCATAATCTAATCCAAAATTCTGTACAAATGACAACAAAGCATAGAGAAACAAATGAGGTCTTCTATCCACCTCAAAGCATCTTCTTTTTATGGGGTCCTTTTGTGAAGTTATCAGGAATAACCATGAACACCTTTCTCAGCAACCACATAACAGAGGAGTTTGAGAAAACTTCATGCACACTCCAAACTGCAGCATTCCCAGTTGGGATTACTGATACAGGATAGCTGTTAAGAGAATGGGCTGACATCAAAGCCCATCCTTCTTCCTGGATTCAAATCCAATCCATTGCACTTGAAATGTTACTTGTGTCGATTTGTAAACAATATCATATTCTATGATCTTTCACTGTAGTGACTTTAATAGTGCAAATTAACAGCCTACTCTAAAACCAGAGGCTTTGCTATTATGGAAATATATCAGTTAAAATGACTAACTTTTCAGTGGATGGTAGACTAGTAATACAAATTATACAGCTCCTTAAGTGCATGTCTGTAAAATCTGAAGGGCAGACTAAAAAAGAAACTTTTATTTATTGCAGTTCAAGATCTAAGCAATTTTCTATTTTCAGAAATGGAGGAGGATAGACAATTTGGAATAACATCCACAGAGGGTCAAAAGCTGCCCTGTAGACCAGACGAGTAATGAAAAAAGTATCTTTAATTAGTCAATTATAGCTCAGATCCACAGTGCTTAGAGTCCACACAAAAATAAGGGTGAACTTATTTTAGCTGCTGTTAACACAGCTCCTGCCCCTTTCACAAGGAGGGGCTGCTTAGTGCATGCAAAGTGCCAAAAGTGCCTCTTTGTGAACCTGGCAAGAAGTCTACATGAGCTATCACTCCACAAAAGGAAGAGTTTGCATTGCAATGCTCTCGATGTCCTGCCAGTTAGGGGCAGAAATGATTCCCATGAGGACTGAAGCTGCACAAAGTCTTTGAGAAAGTGTCTTCAATGGAGCTTCCTACAATAACAGCATAAAGAGCAAAAGCTTTTTACAGGCTATTTTTAATGTCACACCTATTCATCCTATCTTTGACAGCAGTGGCAGAAGTTCTAAAGGCTGAGCTGTTATCATGACAGACTCACCACCTCCCACCAATGTTATAAACACAAGCACGTACCTCTGTGCGAGGGAGATAGTCTGGGTCTGCCTGTATTCTTGCTATAATCTCACACAGAATTATGCCATAGGAGAACACATCTGCCTGAGAGAGAAAAAAATTAATAGACACATGGTTCAGCTATGAATACTCAGCGTTCTTATCTGCCACTGAGTTTCTCCTTACCCCAAATGGCTATCATGAAACAACTCAAGAGCACCACAGCCTTACAACACTGAGCAACTGCATCAGAGCTAACATTTTCCATGTGAAGAAACCCATGCTCACAGAAAGCATTCTTGTTGCACAAATAGCAATGATAAATTTAAATTTTTTTTCAAGAAAAGAAGAAGAAAAATCCACCAAACCACTCTTAATTCAGCAATGTAAAAACTTAAAAAATAAAAAAATCCTTCCTTGCACAAAGAATAGTGAAGTTCCATCTGATGTCCTACACATGGGAATAATTAAAAACCTTGCCAAAACATGACATGCCCATATATCACTATGGTTAGAAAAACAGGTTTAGAATACATGATTCACAGCCTAGCCAGAACATTAATGCTATTTTAAAGAAAAAATTACATTTTGCTCTTCTCAGTTCAGTACCTCTGGAGAAAACCGTCTTCCCAAAGCTTGAGATATCTAGCAGCACTGTACATCAGGTTTAATTTCCATGACATTTATTAACCACTTATCTGACTACCTCTGGAGCTGCACAGTTCCTCAGATTTCCACCCACCTGAATATTACAGGTAATAAAATTTAGGAAAACATGGAATACAAGTCTACAGGGCAGAAGCATGAATCCTTCATTCCTCATGTATCAGGCTTGTTTATATGTCCCCTTTCATGCTGATGAGGCATGACAACTGCCTCTTCTTTATCCCCCTCATGGTAGGGTCAATGAACAATGTGGCACCATAGATTTGGGTACTTTATTATTAATTTAGGTCAATTAAATTCTTTTAAAAGCTTTGAAATGGTAATTATTATATTAATTACTGAGGTAGTTACACTGCTTTCCTGCAAGTTAAAAGTACCACCAATTAAACACTAGATATAGAGAGGTACAGGATGTGGGCTTTATCACAGAAAAGCTACAATGGCAGAGCTGAAGTACTGGAGACAAAATCCTATGTAAAGAAGATATTGGTTAAAACCACCATTTCTAAAACCCATGTGACCTGATCCTCCTCTGAAATAAACATTTCCCAATGACCCAAACAGGAAAACTTAGAAGTACCTTTGGAGAACATTTTGTCTTATCAAGGTATCTTACCTTAAGACACGCTGGTTTATTTTTTATATTTGTACACACACACACACCCCTATACATACATACATATGTATATATATACACACACACACAGAATTGTGCAAGGTTACATACAGACCTTTTACTTCTACCCAGATTTCACTAGTGTACAGTCAGGGAAGAAACTTTGCTACATTTCTCAGACTTGGTTAAATTAAATTGTGTTAGGTCAACAAAACATTACTGTATTTTAGTATGTGGGATGTTTCAGAAAGGAAATAGCATAACAGAGAACAATCCTAAAGCAAACTCTATTTCCATATAAGAATAAACACAATGAATTAAAAATATTAGATATTTAATTTTCACTCTCCTTTAGTCTGAATGATCTACTGAGTACAGAAACATTACAAGTGAAAATAACAATAGTTTTAATAGGATGGAAATTCTAAATCTTGCCTATCGCTACAGAAGAAAACCATTTGACAACTGACTGCATTTATCATGTACCTACCTTTTCATTGTAGGGCTCATCTCTGAGAACCTCTGGTGCCATCCAAAAGGGTGAACCCACAACTGGTAACTTCTCACTATGTTGATGTGGGATAGATATGGATGGGAGGTGGAGGGAGACAAGGAAGAACCATTAATTAAATGCTCAAGCATTGCTATTAACTTTCCCAATCAATTAAAGAATGTTTTATTTTAAGGTCACATCTATTCAATAGTTTATTATTGCCTCTTGGCAGAGTTGGCTCCATCTATACATAAAAAGGTTTGTGGACATTATTTTTGGGCTAGATGCCAAGTTCTCCATTCATCCAGCAAGACATGCAGGTATTCATCCCTACATGTATATTCAGCTCTGAATGAAGACAAACTTATTAATTATTAAAATAAAGATTTGAAAAGTGTGCTTTTAAAATTTTAAAATCAAGACGGACCAGATGAATACTTTAATATGGAAAATTAAAAGTAATCAGAATAGACCCAATTTGAAAAATTTGCAGTTTCCACAAAGCTGAATACTGAGGCCTTAAGAAAGGCCTGTCACCCAGCTGATCTTGAGGGAATACATATTTTAAAAAGAAAAGGCCTCTGAAGGCCTCAAAATAGCACAGCTTGTTACCAGCAAACTGGAAAGAACAAAGCTGCATTTGAAAATGGAGGTAAAACTACATAAAAACAAAGTAGTGGCTAATGTAGCAATTCTATTATGTTGCTGGTTTTAGTCTCAAGCTACCTTAACTGTAATCTCAGTTTTCAGGGCATCTCAAAGCTGAGTATAAAGGACACCTTAAGGCACCTGTAGTATCTTCCTGATTTTGTGGTGGGCTTATCTGAATACAGCTGAAACTTCCAGCACTTCACAGGGTGCTGCTCCACAGCAGGTACAAGATAGACATTGATAAGCTGTATATATAGCTTGTAAATTAAGATATTCGCTTTGTTAAGCTTTTAGAACCAATGTTTCACCAATATTAATGCAAGCCTTCAGATCTGTACACAGCTGAAATCAACATTTATTGTTTTCTTTGCAGTCAGAAGTGCTGGAAGGCTTTTATTTATTTTATGCAGAAGCACACACTGGAGAAAATCTGACAGCACATTTCACAGTCAGAATACTCTGCAACACACAAGTCAATATACAGAGAGAACAATGAAATCCTTGTCCTTGATCTCTCTAATGGAGGGATGACAAAAGGATTATTTTCAATTGTGACAATAGCTTGTGACAGTCCCCTGTGCCTTCCTCAAATGAATTAAGATTATAATTTCATCCCAGGGAAAAGAAAATGGTGAGTTAGACAGTAATTTTATAATTAATTTTATTTTACTCTATAATCCTGGATCTTAAAAACGAACCCAGAGATTAAATAAGAATAATGCTGGAATGCCACTGAATATTGTTTATGAAAGCGCAAAGAAGCTAAAGTTGTTGGAAATCAATGAATGACATTTATTACAAAATCATCCCAACACAGAATGCTGGACAGCATTTTTGTGTTTGTCTTGTGTTTTGGGTTGTTTTAAACCAAGTACCAGATTAAAAGATCTACTGAAAAGCTTGAGCAAATCCTTTAGAGATTGGAACATTTTTGAAGAATAAATGTCACCACTAAATACCAAAATGGACAGTAATTAAGGCTGGAACATTTTGGCTATCCAGCCTACAGTTCCAGACTGAAGACTGAAGGTATTTTTTGAAAATTCTGTACCAGAGTGCAATAACAACCTCAGGGATCTGGTTCACTAGGGCTTCTGACCTGCACTTGTACTACAACTCTCCCTCCATTTAGATTAGCTCGCATACCTGTGATCAGGAATTTTCTCTGCTAAACCAAAGTCTCCAACTATTGCTGAGTATCCATTCTCATCATGTTTTATTAAGCAGTTCTGGAAAAACAAAACAAAACAAAAAACAAACAGAAGAGTTATTGTCTGGGCATGAAACCTCTACAACATTCCAGATTAAAAATAGATAAAACAAGGCTACAAATATAGTTTGGAAGATATTCATCTATGAGAAGCTTTCATCTGAGAGAAACAACTCTTTTCCCCCACCCTCCCCCTGCACAATCAGGGTCTGTCAAACTTAAGATGCTGCAAACAGCCTTCCACTTAGCTAATAATCCACTTAAAAACTTGCTGAGAAGGTAGGCAGCCAGAGGCAGCACATACCCTGCTAGGTTTTAACAAGAATTAAGATGATTTGGCTCCCTTATGCTCAAATATGCAATACATACTGTTCATTATGACACCTTACATTTTCTTTTTACAATTTGCCTGTACTTGACCAGAATACAACATTAGAGCAGACTCTAAATGCCTTTATATAATTTTGCTACATTACTGAAAAGGAACTCACTGCTTTGCAGTAAACTTCCATCAGAAAATATAAGATGTGACCAAGTTTTAGAGTCCCAAAATTCTTTGTTTGACAGTACGTCATAAAACATGATTTAAGAGAAAAGTCTAATAAGGAAATGCTGTCAGTCTTTTCCTTTCAGATGTGCCCTCCAGTGTCAGGATGGAGGGCAACTTAAGGACACACAGATAATTGTGCTCTAACAGCATCACATCACACACAGGGTATTATTGATTTCTTTTTGTTATTTATTTACAACTCTGAGAAATATGTTTTGACCATTCCAGTACCACATCTTTTCCCATTTCACCAAATGAATCGATAGCTGATTCCCTGCATTTTGTTCTGTCCTGCAATACGTGGAACAAGACAGAAAATTCATTCCTTTCCCACATGCTTGCTCTGTATCCTTCTGCAGGCAGTACAACAGCAGTGACAGGCAGCAAACCCACTGCTGACTCCTACCGAGTGGTACCCTGCATTAATTAGCTAAACAGCAGGAAACACTTTCTGGCTTTATTGTGCCTGGATATACAAAAGCCCCTCGCTGACCCTAGAGCATTAGCTTGTCTGTATAATGCAACTACCAAGAAAAGGAAGCCCCTTGTCTAAAAGATCAAGTTCAGGTCATCACTGTTTACATTATTTAGAGACGATTGTGGCTCAGGCCATGAAGTGAGTTTTCTTCCTGCCAATTAAAAGGTTAAGCAAGCCACTCCTGAGATCATATAAAAAAAATGCATGCCAGCCTCTTGAAACACATGCAGGTTCCTGCGATGCAAAGCTTTATTTGTTTAGCATGACTCAAGTATAATAACTACAGTTAGTTTGGGGATTCATAAACATGTACCAAGTTAAATCAACTGTGCTTGCCCAAAGAGCAGCAAAGCTTCTCAGTTGTGGGCTTTGTTATCTTTTATCAAAGAGTGCATTCATTCAGCTTGCCTCTCTTTAAACATTTGGTCACTGTAAGTGGACTTAAAACTGAGAAGGATAAAACTGAGAAGGATAAAAGTACTGAAAAATCTTACTCAAATGATTCAGACAAGTAGAATTTCATTGTGTACCACATAGAAACAAATCCATGAGGACACCAAAGATTTTGCAGTGTTCAAGAAGGTTGATACTATTTTATGCAGAAAAAAAATCAGGTTACTTTTCTGCCATAGATTTCTCAGCCACTAAAGATGATTCTTAATTCAATTTTTTTAAAAAAACCTCTAATTCATAAGCACTAGTTTCAAAAAGTAGATTTCCTTTCTGTATTATACCTTTGATTATTTACATTTTATTCATTTTGAGAAGCAAGACTGCAGTACTTAATTTTGCCTTCTGGGTTTTATGGATTATTGTTATTCTTCAATAACCCTGATCTCCAAAATTTTGAGGAAACATTTACATCTCAACTAAGAACTATTTTCAACATAACTAAAAATCTGTCTACTCATCTTAAGATTCACAATAATTTACAAGGCTGCTTTGATACCAAAAGGAAGCTTAAATGAAACATCATCCTGACAGCAAATATTCCTTCAGCCTCTTACCAGTATCTAATCGCATCCCGTTAGACAGTGATACATCAACTGAAGCTGAACAATCCTACCCCCCACCAAGCCCCAGGCAGTCTCAGCTCTCAGGTGCAGCCCTGAACTATTACACAAGTAGGTTATTCCTAGATAAATCATACATCAAATCAATGCTGCCTGACAGCTCTGAGCCCCTTCCCCAATGAGCAGGATTTGCCCGCAGCACAGCCAAGCTCCCTTTCAGTGCAAGTGTTTGGAGAGACCCACCAGCACAGACATCCCACTGCTGGGGAGTCCACAGGTCCTGCAGGAGAGGCCACTCCACCAGGAGAAGGCACCAGAGGAAAGCCTTGGGCAACATTCCCGCTGTAGAGTACTGATGAGCTGTTCTGCTGTGGTGGGCTGCACAAAATGTTCTCTCTCATTAGTGGACGCCTGTCTTTTGTTTGCACATGAAGAACTGCTGAGTGTGAATTTAAATTCATTAGGATACCTATTCCAATACAAATGTGGCTTCTTTATTCATACTTAAATCAGCCACAGGCAGGTGACATGGACCATACAGTAAGATTCCAGTGTCACTACAAATGCTCACTGTAGTGAAACTAAACTGATTTAATTTATCTGGGGCAAATTTTTATGTAGCTAAGCACTGACTTCCTGGAACTCCGAAAGAATGAAGGCCCATTCCTTGCAAAATCAGTAGTAAACCCTTTCTACATAAGCCAGCATGGTCAGATGTCACTTCTCTGGCCTGTACTGCTCATTCAGGACAAGGCTGTGCAGCCAGTAAAGCATTCTGTGCTGAGATTCTCCAAGCAATGAAGGCAAACCCTCAGCACCACCATACTCCTTCTCCACACTTCCCACCCCAATAATGCCATTACACAACACGTGCCAAACCCACAGGACTGATCATGGAGTTACCAGATTTAAGATGCAATTCATAAATAGGTGACATAACATAGCCCACTGTGGCTCATGTGCACTCAATGAAAAACAGAAAGAATTCATATTCTATCAACAAAATAAATCAAGATCAAAAAGGGACAAAGGCTCAGTAGAGACTAAAAGGTTGAAAAGAGCTTTTGAATTTAATCTAGAGGTGGTATCTTAGTAGGAAAAGTACAAATGCACAAATCGCACTGCTTCTTCTAACAAAGCAATACTTCTCAGTTTCTGTAAAAAGATAGTATATCAGTGTGGTATGAAGAAGTTCCATTAATGGATTTTAGCTCAGAGATGAAAGAGTTCAAACCCCTCACCAGTTGCAAAGAGCCTCTCAAAACTGCCTATGAAATGAAATGCCAAGCAGCTTCACAACACTGAGCTTTGAGAAAGCACTTTTGACTTACTATTGCATTATTTGTATAAGCTGCAAGGCAATAAAACTTGGTGACCTTTTCAGGCTTTCTTTCTGGACCTGTACAGACAGGGATGTTCTTTCCTTTGGCAGCTCACACAGTCAAAGAGGGCAGTATTTGATCTCAGTTGAGTTTTTGAGGGTTTTTTTTCCTCCCAAAATAGGGACCTCATGAATCCTTCCTGAAGCACTCTTAATAGAGGCAAGGAGCTCTGTACATGAGTCCGAAAGAGTTAACAGAGCTGTTTATGCAGACAGATGTGAAAGAACATAAAGCCCCCTTTGTGTGTTACAGGAGCTTAACATCTGCTTTGCACAGCATAATCCTACTAAGACAAATTCAATATTTGACTCTCCCTTTTACATAAACAAAAATCAAAATGGACTCGAGTTTCAGAGTTAAAAAATAAGTTGCTTAGATGAGGAAACACCATAGTTTTATTTTATGATATTACATACAAGCTAAACTACTCAGAGATTTTAATGCACTCCAGAAAACACAGAAATGCCACTGCAGTATCATTTGCAACCTTCTGATAGCTGTTACCAAATTAAAATATTTAAAGGCCAATTGAGATGTATCAGCTGTTTAAAAAGTGCTATCCCCTAGGAGAAACCCCACTGAGAATTAAATGTGTAACAGGAAGTTTACAGTACTAGATACACTTTTGAAACTATTATGCTTAAGGGAGAGGTCCCCTTTGGTTCCTGAAGTATCAGAAGAAGTTTAGTATTGTGACTATCTCATTAGAAATAGCCATCTGTAACAGCTAATTTTTCCAGTGCAAGCCCTCTCCTGCAGTGCAAAATATCCAGACAAGAGCTTTTTCCAGCACAAAAGGGACCTGGCAACTGCAGCACCAACTATTGAGATTCATCAGACAAAGGTGCTGTTCACAGCCTGGGGTTTATTTTGTTTTAAAGAAGCAAACAGCATACAAGGTAGGAAGTCAGGGCATGTCACTTCCAAGCCCAAAGGCAGTGAATTTATGTTACATCAGATAATCTACAGTAATTGCTTACATGCATGATTCTGTCCCATAGTAACTGAGGCTGCTCCTCTCTCAATGAGAGAAGTCTGAGCCATTACACACTGTGAAGTGAAAGCAGATGTTGGCAGGAATACACACACGTGTTTATATATATATGTGCCTAGAGATTACAATTTCTCCATAGATTTTATCATCAATGGAGCTCACAATGTTCCCTAAAACTGCTCAGAACCTACTATTGATTATAAAACCTTGTTTTCAATTATACATAATTCTGCAAAACTAAAAGGCAGGTTTGCCTGTTAGTTTTTAATCAAGAGTTTTGGTAGTGGACTTTTAGGGAGGGGGTGTAAACCATCAAAATATCAGTCTATGGTATCACATCAAATTTGACACGTCCTCAACTTGAAACCTGGTGACACCTCTGTGTAAGATGCTCCTGTTGCCACCTCTGGAAAGAGTAGACTGGGACAGAGTAGAATAGCATATGCTGCATGAGGAATTTGAGAGCATGACTAAAGTGACAAGACAGAGGATAAGCCCAAGCCAGGGACAGGCAGGGACCAAGACCAGGACCCTAAGCCAGGGAATAAAAAGCACATACTATTACAAGGAGAGAAGAACTGCAAGTACAGGTGGTGGCAGGG